TTTTATTTATTTAATTATATCAAACAGTCATTGTGAATTAATCTCACTGTTACTGCTTGATACATTAATACATTTTTGGTTATTATCAGGCTGCTTCAAACTTCAGAACAGCTGATAATAAGTTAGTGACACTGATCCTGCAGCAGTTCAGGATTCAGCTGTCACTAAATGTTTTCTGATTGTTGCAACAACGATCAGCAAACTGAAACATTCTTGTTTCAGGAATAGATACATTATAGGAAGAGACATATTATGTATCTATTCATGAAAAAAAAAAAAAGCCAGTATAGCTTGAGAGAGATATCTCTCTCGATCTATACGAGCTGTCAGAATGCCGGCAAAAGCCGGCATGTGTGTCCGCTCTGCTGTGACTCTCAGACACCCGATATTAAGGTATCGGGTGTCTGAAAAAGGTTAACCCTTTCATTAATGAATGCCTCTGTAGTAAGGGCAGCCATTAATGAATGTTAAAAGCTGATTCTCAGCGTTTAACAGCCCTCTAAAGAAGCAAATAACTCGTCACGTACAGTGTACGTGACAAGTCATTTGGTCCCTTTGTGGCTGGACGTACAGTGTACGTCTCCCGTCACAAAGGGGTTAAGGCTATTTTCTCTTAGGATTGAATGTTAGGGAATATAGATTTACCCTGCGAAAAGGCAACTTAAATATCCAGAAAATAAATGTCACCCATAATCAAAACATTACGGGTATTATTCACGACTGCAAAAATCTTATACATTCGCAAGCGCGATTTAAAAAAATTTTTTTTTACAAATACCCCCATACGGTTTGCATGCCCAAAAGACGCCTTAAAGTGACATTAAAGTCAAATTTTTCCCCCCTCCCCCCATGTTAATGTCAGCACTTACCTCAAATGATGTCTCTTATTCCGATCTTCTTCTTCTTTCCTGATGTTTTCATCTGTCCCTCCAGCTGTGCGGCGGGTCTCCGATCCAGCGCTGACTCTTCTCTGCTTGCAGGCACTTCTGATCCAGCGGTGTCTGCATGCGGGTGCACGCGTCCATAGACTTACCTTGCGTCTCTGCTTGTCTCCCGGACGAGAATCAGAACTGCGCATGCGCCCGCCCAAGATCCTTTGCGGCCGCACGAGCAGTTCCTGATTCTCGGCGCAGGGGCGCGCAAAGAAAAAAAGGGAAGTTTAAACCGCTGTTTTAGCGTTTTTTTTTTTTTTTTTTAACTGTTTGCCTATATCTACTGCTTGATAGCAGTAGATATAGGCAAAAAAACGGGAGAGTTTAGAACCCCTTTAAGTGACAGGTGCTGTGTGTAATTGCACACAGCAGCCTGTACTTCCCTATGGGAGGATGTGGCTACACACGGTCACATGCACATTCGTTGGGGGTATGGTTGTCCGCACTTGGACGCACATGCCCGAATGAATAAGCCCTTTTGCTGATAATAACCACTGCTCATGGAACTTTTTACTGGGCTCTTATTTGGAATTGTTCAGGTCTGTAGCAGGTTTACATTGAAAGTTAAAGCTTTCTGGAAGCCAAGATAAGGCAGGTCCCTGAACACTTATATTCCATGACTCACCTGGCTCAATTTATCTGGCCTCAGTCAATGTATCTATTTATTTTACCTGGTAATAGCTATAAAAAGAACTAAATCTATAGGAAAGTAGAATAGCCCTTTAAATAGCGATGTAACAATGTTCACAAACATTGTATACTCAAGGACAAGGTGATACAGTCTATTAGGTGACGCATTTCCTGGTATGAAAGTTGCAGGAGTGATAACATCTGTAATTACATATACAGAATGTATGTAGCAGGAAACATTTCTAAAACAAATACACATATGAACAATATTTATCCTTGGGAAATACTCACAGGCAGCCTCCAAATTCCTCAGATGGTTTTCGCCACACGGTTACATCACTCTGCAAAGCAGACAAGCCAAGGTCAGCCATACTGATTCAAGTATCATATGACATGGTGTAAAAAAAAAAAAAAAAATAACACAGCTAGATATGCTTTCACAAAAAGTACCAAACAAAGGCTATGCATATTATATAGAAATATAAAAATATACATTTGTAATAGTGAGTTACTGAGCCGATCTGTGACAGTCTCATTGTCACAGGTCGGCTAGAACTATGAGGTGAGTGGAAATCACTCATCTCATAGTTCTCCTTTAAGTGCCTCTAACACCATAAGATTTACTTACAATGTACTTAATGGTGAACTATGACCAAGTAGAATCTCTATTCTCTCTACACACACGGGCACCTCCGAAGCAATCTCTTGTGTATAATAAAGGTTCTCACACCCCATAAAACTTACCTTAGTCCACGGTCTAGGTTCTTCAATCAGACTAATCGGAGAATGGCATACAGCGGACCGGTTGTCACAACTGGAACCGGCAGGATAGAAGATGAAGGGACCATGAATTAGAGTAAATTTTAGTTGGCATTTATTTTAAAAGAAGCTTTTATTTAAATCTGAAGTTTTGTTATAATTTGTGTTGTGGATACAGTACCAGGGACATAACTTACCTCTAATGACGTGTGCCCCATGTTCTGCTGGCAGCTGCTTACTAGGGATGTTCACGTACCAGTTCAGATACCAGTGCCGATACTTGGCATTTTCACGAGAACTACCAGGGTCGCAGCAGTTGAAGCTTTGAAGCTGGGACCTAGTTCTGGCGTTCCACCACTGTCCTGAAATCATTAGTCTGTATTGTTTTAGAAAAACTGTCACATGACAATAAGCAAAAATGTATCAGTCCTTGTATCTGTGAGTACTTGCACAAGTATCAATACTTGTACTTGAAAAAATGGTATCAGTGTGTCCCTGATATATATTTATAGAAAAGAAAATCATACATTAAAACAGGGATGCACAAATCCCAGGAGCTCCGTGTGCTCCCTAAAAATGACACCTGCCGCCTAACTTTTGAATTTTTCCCTAGTCTAGTCTTGGAGCAGGAAAAGTAACTGTACTTGTACCAAGTATGGTACTTAGGGGTCTATTCATGAAGCTGCCGAAGGATCTGGCCGTAGCTTCGGCCGATCCTTCGGCTAGCTTCGGCCCCAGGACCCCTTCGGTTCAGTAGAACCGAAGGGGTTCTGTACGGGCTATTCACAATGTCAGAATAGAAAAAGAAAAAAAAGAAGAATTTTCCCATAGAAAAGCATTGGGACATTACTATTGGCTATTTCAATTTGCAATAGCCAATAGTAAACTAGCATTGTACCCGCCCTCTGCTGCAGTTCCCCATCAGGTCCATCAGCAGAGGGCGGGTACAATGCTAGTTTACTATTGGCTATTGCAAATTGAAGCAGCCAATAGTAATGTCCCAATGCTTTTCTATGGGAAAATTCTTTATTTTTTTCTATTCTGAGATAGTTCGTGTCAGAATAAAGAAAAAAAGACACAGCAGTGTTTCTCTCCTGGGCGGCCGGGAGCGGGAGGCTCCCAGAGCGCCTGGGAGAGTTTTTTTTTCTGTTTTTTTTTTACAGCAGCAGAGCCGCCGGGCAGCCTCTGAGGGACCGAGGAGAACAGCCGAGCCGAATGCCGCTCAGTGGCATTCGGCTATTCACTCACTGCTATTCGGCATATTTAAGAATAGGCCGAACAGCAGTGAGAAGCCTGCCGGAGGTTCTGCTCAGCCGATCCAGATGTTGGATCGACTGAGTCGAACTCCTGCACTTCGGGTCGGTAAAAAAATCTACAGTAAGCAGCAGCCAAGAGAACATGGGATCCACTTCATTAGAGGTACGTTATGTCCCTGGTGCTGTATCTACAACACAAATTTTAATCAAATTTCAGCTTTAATGCTTAATAGTGGGCTGTGCTGTTGGTGTAAGTGGACCAAAAAAAAATGTGTTTATACTTGTAGTTCAGCTTTAATAGGACAAATAAATAAACTCCCACACACAGGGGGAACAAAAGTAGCCACCCCCCAGAAGGAAGGACAGCATCATCATGAATTCAGCTGATTGATACACAAATAAGATACATTTTTGTCAATAGTTAAAAGAGAACTATGGGGTAAGTGTTTTTCTCCATAGTTTTCTTAAGGGTCACGGGAGGACATATACTAGCGTCCTCCCGTTACCCTAAGCTCAGTATATTGCAAGCTACAGCTCGCGGTATAGTGAGACCGGCGCAGCCGGAACGGATCCCAGCATTACTGTCGAGATCCACCCAGCTACGTGAGTGACAGCGGGTTCTGCCTATCTAGAAGCAGAGGCAGCTGTACCTGCCCCCTCCCCTTGTCCGTTCCTCCGGAGTGGGGAGGGGGGAATCCCTGCAGGGAACCGTGATTGACAGTCATTGCTCTCTGCAGGGAGATGATCGAGAAGTGAGCGAGCGACGGTATGTGTTCGCTCACTTCCCAATCTATTGAGCCGACGTGTGACAGTTTCATTGTCACACGTCGGCTCAAACTATGAGGATGAGTGATTTTCACTCACCTCTTAACTCTCCTTTAAGGTACTACTACTACTTTAATTCCTCAGTTTAGTGTCACGTTAAGGTCATTTCCAAAGATGCTCTACAAGACTGAAGAATAGTAGTATACGAACAGACCACGCTATCCAAAGAGTTCCAATACTTCAGACTTTATTCAAGTTCAAGGCAAATTCAGTATAACAGTGAAAACAGTGTATAAAGCAACAAATGCCAGCACTGCACACCCCCAACCAGTTACAACCTCTGCAGTCTGTTCGTATACTACTACATTCCAAGGTGGAGACATACCTATTAGACCAGCACCTGGGGAGTCCTGATGGTGGTTAAGGAATTGGAGCGGTGAGATTTCCTTTGGCCCTACAAGACTGAAGAATAGCCAGTCTTATGAAGGGGCCTTGTCCTTCAAAAGCTTGCTATGGCTTGCACCATACTAAGTCAATAAAGCTACTGTTATTTTGACCAAAAGTAAAATTCTTAATCCATTTCACAGCCAACATAGGAATATAAATCATCCTTAATTGATGGTACTGCAGGGACTGGAAAGTGAAGAAGTTCACTGAAAGTCTTATCATGTAATTGCATTTCTCACTGCATTTATTACTCTTGTGAGTAAAGGTCCCATTTGGTATTTTCTCTCCATGCAGATGAAAAGCTGGTTCTCAGCCTGTGTGCAGGAGATTACATTGATTTTAGGAAGCTTACTGATTTTTTAGCAACACTCCACTCATCTTCAGGAATACTGTGGTAATGAATCAGTGTATTCTGCAACTTCGTAGACATTGTTGGTACATCTATATGGTCCACCATGTTTCTAAAGAAAATGTAAAAAAAAAAAGATTATTAAAGAAATTGAAGATAAATTATTTTAAAGTATAACAACCTCTCCTACTACATCAGCCCCAGCGAGACAGATCAGCACCTCACCGGCATCCAAATAATAAAGCCTGTTTTGTACCAAATTACATTTTGGTTCTGTGAGCTGGCTGGATATTGCTAGCATACCTGCATGGCACTGAGTATGACTGAGAGATTGTCTCCTTGAAGAAGGGACCCCCAAATGTCCTAAAGAAACGGCCTTAAGACTTTAGGGAGGGACAGACTGTGGACAGTGGGAGTAAAAAGTCCCCTGATGTCAGCGTAAATAAACAATGTGCCAGACTCAGTGGTTAAAAATGGCGTATTACCTGTGATCAGTGGGGAGGGGAATAAGTGCCCCATTGTTAATGTCAGTAAAAGGAACAGTGTCCCATTACTGGTGTCATTAGGAGGAAAGAATAGTGCTCCATTGCTGGTGTCAGTGGAGAAATAGTGGCCTATCAGTGGTGTCAGTGGAAGTAACTGTAAATAAGTCTATCTTGCGGCACTCCTTACCGGATTCCATAGATAACCTGTGAACACAGGTGGGTGCTTGTAGTGACCACAGATGGCACCATGATACGATCATGATCATATACAATTTCAAAGAATGTCACCAGCACACCATGCTTAAATGTGATTAGCAAAAGTCCATTTAATGACAATATAATGCCATTCAATTACCGTGTAATTGAATGCTGGTGCTAATCACATTTAAGCATGGTGTGCTGGTGACATTCTTTGAAAGTGGAAGTAACTGTGCCTCATTGTTGGTATTAGTGGGAGAAATTGTTCCCCATTGTTGGCATCAGTGAGAGGAATTGTGCCCCATCATTTGTATCAGAGGTAGAAATAGTGCTCCATTGTTGGTGTTAGTGGGAGCTCCATTGTTGGTGCCAATCTGAGCAAAAGTGCCCCAAGGGCCACTTAAATGCATGCAAAGGGCTACATCTGGGCCACTGCCGAAAGGCCTGGCAAGCAGTCATCCTCTCCATTATACTCTATGGCAGTTGGGAACACACAGGGATAATACCACCTTCCATTCCAGCTTACAGAAGAAATGAAATACTGCCTGGGCTTGATAAATGCGCTAATTACCATATTCAGAGTACAGCTAAAAGCAGTCAAAACATTGTAAAGTGATTCATTCACTGAAATCAATGGCACTCTGCTTGCTTTGAAGACACAGATGAGCGGTAAAATGCAGATGTATGCAGCGTGGAGTAAATACTGCAGTGCCCCGTGGATAGTGATATCCAGTCTCCGCTATAAATAAGCCCCCCAATAGTGCTTAGACATACCGTTAGTTCTGCCCACATACCGCGGGAGCCTTATGTTCTTGGACACTCTAATATTAAAGTAAATATGCCGCACTGTCAAAAGCTAACCCCTTGCAATAGTGATTGAGCATGAAAATCTATTATGGCCAAGCAATTCATCCTTTGACATTGATGGATCTATAGGTGTCTGTACAAGTTATGGGAACCCCTACACATACGCCATATTCCCATCTGACCATTATTAGGAAAATCAATTCATTTCATTGTATGTCCATGAATAGCATTACTGTACATAGCTATTCATGAACGCCATTTCAGTAAACAAAAGAGCACACACTGAATTCTCATCATGGTTATGGTGAACACATATAAAAAGTCATATTGGGGTGGCTTCTTAACAATGGTATATTAAGAGTAGGCAACCTCGGCCCTCCAACTGTGGTGAAACTACAAGTCCCATGAGGCATAGCAAGATTCTGACAGCCACAGGCATGACTCCCAGAGGCACATGCATCATGGGATTTGTAGTTCCACCAGAACTGGAGGGCCAATGTTGCCTACCGATTTGGTATATTGTTTAGTGAGCACAAAATAAGAGTGCAGTTAACGGCCATGTACAAACATCTTGAAGTGCAACTGAAGCTAAAACTTTTTTCTTAGTTTTGGATAGAGTAAGAAGGTACAGGAACCTTTTTGTTGGGTTTTAATTGCTTTCCATGTTAGGAAACTTTTCCTTACTTCCTGGTCCAAAGACAAGTGAAATCTCACAAATGAGCACACAGTTATAGTTTGAATAGAGCACAATAGCGATAATCGTAACTCTGTTGGGTTATTTGCTATTTGTATCTCAATTGGATCATTCTCTCTCACTTCCTGTCCTGGTGCCAAGTGGTCACTGGACGTGAGGAGCCATTTCCCCAATAAAAAAGAGAGAATTTCTAGTCCTTTCTCCTCTACAGATGAAAAATACCTAGAATTCTACCTAATATCCTTGTCCATTATATAATGCCCGACTTATAGAAGTATTAAACTCTCAGACTTTTTAAAAAATAATGAATCTACATCAAACAAATATACATTGCCCAGAAAAAAAAATGTTTTAAATTCTTGCCAAAGCACTTACAGTCATCATTGTTTCTAAACAGCTCTAAATCTCCCAGCTCCACTTCCCTGAACTTCTTGTCCAGTACAAGATCACAAGTGACAGAGCATTCTCCAGCAACTGCCCATCTACTAGCTTGGAGAAGGTATAATGTAGAAAGAGGAAGGTAATAGCTTGTGCTGCTGTGCCTGTGTGTTTGCAGAGACACACACTGCTTACTAGCACACACAAGGGTGGCTCAATAGGACCCTGCAAGGGAAAGGATTCACCCTAAAACAGGATATCAGGGCCAGAGCTGATTCTGCAGGAAACTAAAACGCTTAAACATCAAGGAATAATATCCATACTCTTGCCAAATTATCCCCCATCAGCAAAAACAAAATCAAGACAGTCTGAGAGAAATATGAGGCATAGGGATCCACCTGTGTCTGAAGCAAACCGCCTCCATATCTATATACATAGAAGACTTTACGTCCAACATCAATGTACTAAACAGCTCACGTGTGTTTATTTTGTATAAACTTTTTTTATATTTATTTATGAATTCATTTTTAATTAAATATTTGTATTTTTTACTTTACTTTTAGGGGCTTCAGGGAAATATTAGGGGTGTAAACAGACCCCTATATTTCCCTTTTAAAATGGAAAAAGAGATTGAGGACACAGAGTCTTCAATCTCTTTTTCTGTGTCCCCTGTTATCAATGAACAGGAATCCTCTATCAGTGTTCCTGTTCATTGATAACGTGAGAACATTGTTTGTTTACTATATCCACAATCATGAATGAAAGGGGGATGATGTAGATCACTCCCATTCATTCATAATTGAGGACACAGTAACCATACTATGCCCTCAATTATGTACACACATTCAGCGATCACTGATCCTTGAGTGTTTGTACGGCTCTCCTCTCTGACCTGCTGCCACAGGAGGCTGAGTGAGCGGTGCAGGGAGGAGAGCTCAGCCTCATGTGACAGCGTGGGCTGTCTCCGCCCCCACACCGCTTTGCAGGACTGTGATATCACTTAAATAGCACTTTAACATGGATAGTAAGCCATAAGGTTAGCTGGGACTTGTGGTGCTTTAATACCTAGAGAGTACAGACTGCCCATAGTTGGGAAAGAAGGTGATTTTCTTCCAAATGGATGAATTATTGGAATTATTTTGAATTATTGGTTATTATCTGATTAATCTAAACAACTTAAAAAAACAAATGAGCTCGGTTTTATAACCGTCAGTTCATTAATACACATGTACTTATACTATCAGTCATCATCACTGTAATTACACAGAGAAAAATACAAGAAAGAAGCCATTGGATAGTATGTAAACCCTATTTGCTCCCTTTTGGAAAGCGTTCTGTTTGATACATTTAAAAACAATATCTGTTAATGCTGATTTGATTATGACAGAAATATTGTTAGCTGATGATTTCCTGTGAACTCTGCCTCTGCTGATCTCTTATTAGATACATTGTTCCCGGCTATCTCTGTGGACTACAAAACACCTTCCCTCTAAATAATGGAGATGAGGTGTTCTATAGTAACATAGTAGGTAAGGTTGAACAAAGACACGGTCTATCCAGTTCAACCTATGTATATGTATATGTGTGTGTGTCTGTATATACTTGGTTCTAGTGGTTCCCATATCCTTCTACGGTATATTTAGTAAACTAAGAAACGCATGAAGAAGTTTCTTGTATTGATCAATGCTATCAGCAGATACTACTGACTGTGGAAGGGAATTCCACACTTTTACTACTCGCACAGTAAAGAACCCCTTGCGCAGTTTAAGATTAAACTGCCTCTCTTCCCTTGGTTGTGATCTCGTATCATCAATAGAGTTCTTGCTGTATGCAGTCTTTATACACTTCCTTTGCTAGGGTGACAACGCTGCTCCTCCATAGACACAGTACAGCATTGTCATCAGGATCGCCAGGCGGAAAAGGATCATTAAAAAAAATGAACAGAGTCACCTCATCTAAGGACCAGCACGTTATACTATACTTTTGTGTTTGGGCTTGGATATACTTTATAGTTAGACCAGGCTGATTTATTAAAGTAGCTGAGATTCTTCAAGCAATGGGGTTGATTTACTAAAGGCAAATAGGCTGTTCACTTTGCGAGGGGATCTTCCCTTAGGTTAGTGAATGTGGTGAAAATTAACTTAGCAAAAAAAGGTGCATGAAAAAGAAAACAAAAAAACAGCTGCACATTAGCTGATCATGAGCTGCATAGATCTGAACATTATTCACACAGATGTGATCATTGTATGCACAGTTCTGATCATTATCGACAAAGTTCATTATCTGCACAGAGATGTACCCTGGTTCCTTATGTAACATTGTAGCAGCAGTCACGTGACTCACCATAACACTGTACAATGTACAGACGTCTGTTCCTTACCATGAGCATGAATGGGCAGTGTGACCTACTGCCATAAAGAGTGATCTGAGTGCTGCACCTCCTGTCCATGTGCCCTCTGCAGCATCAAGAACGCACTGGTCATATTAGACCCAGTACAGACATACTCCATGTACATCACAGAGTGCTCTATATTCCAGGCAGCGTGCCCCCACATGAGCCTGTAAACCAGCAAGCAGAGACTTGCCGATCCCCCTGAACAGAAGATGAGAACACACACACACAGCTCAATACAAGCACAGAATAAAGGAACACTCCATATAATTCTCTATACGTACCCGGCGCTACGTCCTCACTCGCCGGATGGCAACTACAGAGTGTTCATCAGCAGTTCTACTACCGTCCAATCACAGCGCGAAGTCATTCATGCGGTGTCATTAGAACACAACAGGAACGAATGAGAGAGAGCCCCGATCACACCCCGCCCCCTCACTGTCAGCATCTGCTGAGCCCACAGAGGATGCTGAAGTGGGCGGAGTCATGTGACTCATGCGGCATCCTCGCTGTTCCGCTGGCTGTAGAATGTTGATGGGCAGCATACATACTGAGTGATGTACCGGGGAGGAGGAATCACGATGAAGTGCGGAGATCCTTAGCTGTAGCGAAATGGTTCATGACTACAGGAGCTGTCAGCTCTCATATTCAGTCATAAGTCATTGTGAAAGAAATGGATTAGTAGTCACACCGCCCGGTGTTTCATGCGTTGTGTATTCAAATGCCAAATGTAAAAACTCAGGTGTGATCAATGCCTTATCAGGGAAGAAAAACTACCATTCCCCTTCCTCATCTACTACACTTTAAAATGATATGCAAGTCTATAGGTGTTTAAGCTATTTCAAATGCTGATTAGATCGCTTACAATGAATGTTGCTCCTTGATGTTTAAAAGTTTGAGTTTCCTGCAGAACCAACTGGTCCCCTGAGCAGTGGTCCTGATATCCTGTTTAAGGGTGACTCCTTTTCCTTGCAGTGCCCTATGGAGCCACCCTTCTGTGTGCTAGCAAGCTGTATGTGTGTCCACAAACACACAGATTCAATAGAAATCCCACCGCACTCCTTACCGGTATACTGTGCTTGATGTACGGCTGAAATCAGCCATACAAGCCAGAAGTGAATAGCCGAACAGCGTTCAGTTCACTCTACTCCGGCTGGGTTATTCACTCGGCTGGCTTTGGGAGCTTTGTGAATAACCCCCTTAGTTGTTTGCCTGGAATTTAGCTAAAGTAATTATAGGTCTTATTTAAATTTAATAGCAGCTTTCCTTCTTTATTCCCCCTTTCATATAGTTCACTCATTTGTTAACCTAGGGGTCTGGTTGCTGTTGCAAAAGTAAAGGTTGTTACATTACTACCACTGAACAGACCTGTGGATTAAAGTGACAATAAACCTTAAAAATACATTCAAGTACCTGAACTGTTAACGAAATGTAACTTATTTGTGTATCACTCATGTATAGATCCTCAAATCATTTCTAAATTCATGCCGACACTGTCCTTCCTTCTGGAGGGTGGCTACTTTTGTTCCCCATGGTCCCTGTGTGTGTTGTAAAGTACCCACCGCTCAAAGGTCACTCCCATAATGGACTACAATCTCATGTTTAGTTTACTAATTTGTGTTGAGATTGTAGTCCATCACGGGACTGAGCTTGAAGTGGTGAATACTTTACAACACACACAGAAACCATGGAGAACAAATGTAGCCACCCTAATAGGGTACTCAAATGCATTTTTAAGATTTAAATTCTCCCCTCCCCTGTCCGATCCTCCAGCGCTGACTGGCGGAACGGACGGGGGAGGGGGCGGTTACAGCTGGCTCTGCCTCTAGATAGGCAGAGCCAGCTGTCACTCAAGCAGCTGGGCGGATCCAGACATAATTGTCGGGATCCGTTTCATCTGCGGTGTCTCAGTATACCGCGAGCTATAGCTTAGTGTGATGGGAGGACGCTAGTTTGTGTCCTCCCGTTACCCTTCGAAGAACTATGGGGAAAAGCCCTGACCCCATAGTTCTCCTTTAACTCCTGAGTTTAGTGTCACTTTAAGCCAATACTTGAAATTAAGTGGGGTTGATTTACTAAAGGCACATAGGTTGTTCACTTTGTAAGGGAAGTTTGCCCTTAGTAGTGAATGAGGTGAGGCTATGCTGACTTCCATCATCCTATCATGTTCAATAAAAATGTTTGTTTTTTTAAATTATGTTCATTGCACATGATTGGGTATTGTTTGTGCATTTTCACCACATTCACTAAGCTAAGGGAACCATTCCCTGCAAAGTGTAAATTCCCTTACAAAGTAACCAGCCTATTTGCCTTTTGTAAATCCACCCCAGTGTGTTCTCCTGACATAGAGAATGCATCTATACGGTCAGATATATTCACATTTTATGAAGTGAGATAAACCAGAGTCCAAGAAAATTGCTTTGCACCATAGTACCTATTCCGTTTACTGTATTGACCAAAGTCTAAAAGTTGTTTAAGACAATAAATGACAATGATAAATGGTTTCATAAGCAGTCAGCATTTCCATGATGCTTACAGCAGCAGTAAATAGCAGGTACTGTATATGGTATAATTTTGTTTACTGACAATAGGAAATCCTTCACCTTTACCTTAGATCCTACTAACAGTACAACGTAATATTACCTGACTAGTAATAGCTCCATGTATTCTTTGTACTATGTTTCAAGGTATTTTACACTAAGAGTGATTTTGTGTTAATATGCTAAAGTAGATGATTGCCATGAATCAGACTGTTAAATCTATGCTCATGCACCTGACTTGTCTCCCTGCTATCCGTTGATTAACACACCATCAAGCTACATAAACATTGTATATGAATTAGAAATTCATACCTACATAATACAACATCCCTTGGAGGAATTATTTCTGCGTATATTATTAATTCCTATAAATTTCAGAGAAATTGTACAGCAATAAGGGCCCATTCACACTAGCAAGTGGGTATTATAGTGCACATAATGTGCATGTGCTGGTGTATGTTGTGCAAAGTTATGAAAAGAAGTCCAATGTTTTAAGCGCTCTTCGGGGGAAAGTGAAATACAGGTGTTGCGCGCTGGTGTGCGGCTCCTGGTGGATATACGGATACGGACCGGGGTGTCCGACGTATGTACTGGAAAAACAAAAAGAGAAGACCAAAGCGCCACGACCTAACGCAATGACTCAGGTGGAGTGGGGCAGAAATATGAGATGTCAAACTCATATGAAGCACTCGGTTCAATACAGGGACAATAAAGAAATCGTGGTGTGGTGATGTTGTTGGGCGAAAGGCCGTATTCTTCCTTTGGAACAGTGACGCGTTGGATCAAGGTGTAAATAACGGTGATGACAGGATGGTGAGACTTCACCGGATGCAATAAATGACAAAAAGACTTGTATAACTCAACGTTAGGTTAGCTGTGGTATGCTATCATCGACAGAGGTGTAGCATGAAGGTAGTTGTTCTGCAGGCGGCGTGGTGACCTGGTTGGTTGGGTCACTTGTGATGTGTATCCCACAGCATTGTTACAACACATTGCTGTGTTTATATACGCACTGCTGTGCGTTGTAACATATTTTTGTGCTCTGTTTTGCAAAAATATGTAGACATCCTGCATTTTTATGCAATGCACACCAACGCAACAGAACACAATTGTTTTCTCAGTCTCCTTGCAATTAAGCCTGTGTTGATCAATGCAGATCAACATAACTCAACACCCTGGTGTGAACGAGTTCTAATAGTAACGGTAATAGTAGTGGTAGTAGTACTTATATTCCACCCTACCCCTGAATTATTAGGAACACACATGTGGTCATTCATCTGTATAGAGGATAAACTGTTTCAAACAGTGAGCTTGAACCAGTAAGAGGTTGTGGACCAAAAAACTAACTAAAACAGGTGGAACAACATAACTACCTGATATGGGAGAAATAGACTAATAATCTGATATGGTCAACAAAAAGAACACTGGGACAAGCCCCTAGGAGAACAAAACCCCAAAGGGAGCAGGTCCTCAAGAAAATAACAGCAGGTCTACATGTAAAACTACATGTCAAAGCCCAAGCCTTACACTCTCAACTCTTAGGATTCAGGGAAGGAAGTTTCCAAGATCAAAGTGAGATTGCCTGGCTGGGCAACCAATCTTGCAAAAGAGACATCCGAAGCATGTGAAGGCTGAAAGGACCACAACAGAGGAAGCCTGCTTCTGATCCCCATCAGGAGGTCAGGTCAGTCTGCACAGTCATGTTACTTAGCTGAGAAGCAGTCAGAGGTAGGGAGATCCCTTTTATTTGTAGGGCTCTCTCCCTGTACACAGCCCTCCCTATCCCTTCTAATATTACTGCCAGGCAGCCTGGATGTTCATAGGAGTGCTCCTTCCCAGCACAAAACCTTCTCTTTTGCCTACTTGCATTAGTGGAAAATTAGCTAAGGAGATGACAGACTATCAGCTAACAGCTTCTCTGCTGCTGTAGGCATCTCCTCCTTGGCTTGCTGTCTGAGCACAGACAGGCTACACAGTATAGTCAGGGCTCAAAGAGTAGGCACTATACAGCATCTCTATGCTCTTACCCATTCCTGCTCTCACCACCCCCCTCTCACCATGGTGCCTTTACCCCTCCTCTCATCAACATGCCTTCACCACCACCCAGGCCCATCTCTCATCTAATGCTTTCAAAAAGCATTCCCCTTTCAACACTGCACCTGCACACCCCTCCCTCCTTCTGACTACCACAGCTATGGACCCACTTCACCACTCCCCCTGTAGCCCCTCTTTTACCAGGTCTTTGCACACTTACCCCTACTTTCACTTCATGCCTCCCAACCCTGTTGTTACCCTATGCCTGATACACTTTTGCTAGTTTAAAGTGACACTAAACACAAGAGTTAAATCTTAAAAATGCATTTAAGAACATTAACTATTAACAAAAATGAAGTTTATTTGTGTATTACTCAGCTGTAGATCCTGAAATCAACTCTGAATTCATGTTGATACTGTCCTTGCTTCTTGAGGGTGGCTACTTTTGTTCCCCATGGAGTGTGTTGTAAAGTAGCCACCGCTCCAAGCTCACTTCTGTTATGCGCTACAAAACAATTGTGGTGAACCTGCGATCCCCCCGAAGACGTCATTTGTGACGAAACGCGCAGGGGCGGGCCTATCCGATACAACGCTATACACGCTATACACAACACGGAAGTGCAGGCTTTCTTTGACCGGCCGGACTCTTGAATCTTTAAAAGTGATTTTTTATGTGTTTTATTCAATAAAAGGATTCTACATGCTGCACAATGAGGAGTTTCTTCTCTTTATTATTCTGGTAAACCATCGGTCTATGGAATAACGTTG